ATTAATGGCACAATTCCTTCATCTCACTAAACCTTCAGAATTTTTACACTAAACACAATCAGTTCATTCCTCCCATTAATTATCAAGTCCTAGCTTGCGGAATAATTCCTGGTTTCCCTGTCTTGGCCATTGGTTTAACTTTCTATAGCTCTGAATACAGTCACACGTGGTGGGAGTATCTTCATTTCTCATTTTTTATTATACTTATGAAAATATGTGTATGTTTATTTAATAATATGTTACATGGAGTGATATATTAAGATGGTTATTGCTTTAAAGATTGTCTTGGATAAGATGTTATCTTATTTAAAATGTAAATACGAATAAACAGTCTAAGAGACATTTACAGAGGAGCTATAGATACATTGTTACACGTAATACAGTTATAGATACATTGAAACGTGGAAAAGGTAAAAGCGCACACACACACACCAAGGAGGGAGTTTACCTGACGTATAATAGATAGTAGGTATCTCCTCCTTATATACAATTAAAGTATTGAATATTGGATTGCCTATACAGAGAATATAAACTGTTACAGACTGCCATTTGTAACTGTTATTTTATTTGACAAATTGCCCTGCTTCCCTGTGTTATGGAGAAGCCTAATTGCCAGCCTTCTGCGCCATGACTATGGACCTAGTGTGTATGGCGATTTGACTGTATTTGTGGGATCTGAGCGCTGTTTGGATATATTGAGCACTCAGATCCAAGCCATCTGGGGATAGGTTGAATGTGGGGGTTCTGTTCAGTATGATAGGAGTTAGGTATTTTTGTGTCTTTTTGTGTCTTTTGCTGACATGTGGTTAATGGAGTCTGCCTCTATCCCTGGATAATTGGATTACTTTCCCCATTGTCCAGGATAGAGGGCTCTGTAAATCCGGTTTGGGCCAGAAAACCATGCTGCCAGCCAGGCCCCAAAAGACACTTTTGCTAACTTTTGAACCCCTTGTCTGATTTGTGCCATTTTTAATATGTTGCTCCCCTTAATGGATTGATTCCAAATATGTAATTTTTATGAAGATTGGATGTGTAGTTTGGAAGTTATAGTACATGTATAAAAACTGTATTTTTACTGTTCTGTTTTAATTATGTTATGTGATTATCTGAGGGATGGGAATTTCCCGAATGTATATTGTTCCGATTGGTTATACTGCTAATTATGTGGGTGTCTCCCTTGCATGGGCAGAATCTCATAAAAGCAGAGTGTGTGCCATTAAAGATCAGATCTTCTTGACCCTCAATACGTAGCCTTGTCTCGTTATTGGAGGGAACTGCTATATCACACTGGGGATTGCTATGCTCTGCATACTCCCCTGAGCTTTTAATCACTTAGCTCTTTTAAGAGCTGTTCCTGTTACGCTCTCCTGGAGGAGAGGTCTTCCCCACACGGTCCTGGAGGACAGAAGCTGATCCAGGGTGGAAGGAAGACGGCGAGACTCCAGTTAAGCTACGGCGGTTGTGGAGTCTGCGGTGGTTGTGGTGTCGGCTGCAGTGTTTGGAGTCCTCAGGAAGCGCTAGGAGCATCCATCAACGGAGGGTACTCGGTCGGAGTACAGGGAGCTCCGTTACATAAACATAAAACAAAACATAGTGTAATCTGTATATCGTACACAATAGAAATGGAAGTTCTGAGTTAGAAACACTCACACTTTAATGAGCCATTTAAAGTAGGCTCGGAACTTATACGGCTTTTATGTCACTTCAATGGGACATACGCATTTTCTTTACTCTTCAGGCAGGTTCTCCATTGGTCTCAGTAGTCCTCTATAGTAAAGCAGGAATCAGGAGCCAGGAGCCAGGAGTATCAGGATAAAATATTTATTTATAATAAAACAAAAATAATAAAAGTATTGCACAACGCGTTTCAACCATCTACTAGTGGTCTTACTCAGGTGCTGTTCCTTGGTGTGTGTGTGCGCTTTTACCTTTTCCATGTTTCATTGTATCTTTTTTAAGTATATATAGTGGTGATATACTTGGGTATAGCAGCACCGGTCACTTATTTCATCCAAGAGCGCCACTTCTATATTTCTTTGCTATCTGTTTGTTTTACCACTGTATAGATACATTGTTACACATATAAGAGACACATACAGTCTCCTTATAGATACATTGTTACACATATAATAGACACATACAGCGCAGTTATAGATACATTGTTACACATATAATAGACACATACAGCGCAGTTATAGATACATTGTTACACATATAATAGACACATACAGCGCAGTTATAGATACATTGTTACACATATAATAGACACATACAGTGCAGTTATAGATACATTGTTACACATATAATAGACACATACAGTGCAGTTATAGATACATTGTTACACATATAATAGACACATACAGTCTCAGTTATAGATACATTGTTACACATATAATAGACACATACAGTACAGCTATAGATACATTGTTACACATTACAGTTATAGATACATTGTTACACATATAATAGACACATACAGCGCAGTTATAGATACATTGTTACACATATAATAGACACATACAGCGCAGTTATAGATACATTGTTACACATATAATAGACACATACAGCACAGTTATAGATACATTGTTACACATATAATAGACACATACAGTGCAGTTATAGATACATTGTTACACATATAATAGACACATACAGCGCAGTTATAGATACATTGTTACACATATAATAGACACATACAGTACAGTTATAGATACATTGTTACACATATAATAGACACATACAGCGCAGTTATAGATACATTGTTACACATATAATAGACACATACAGCGCAGTTATAGATACATTGTTACACATATAATAGACACATACAGTGCAGTTATAGATACATTGTTACACATATAATAGACACATACAGTACAGTTATAGATACATTGTTACACATATAATAGACACATACAGCGCAGTTATAGATACGTTGTTACACATATAATAGACACATACAGCGCAGTTATAGATACATTGTTACACATATAATAGACACATACAGTACAGCTATAGATACATTGTTACACATATAATAGACACATACAGTGCAGTTATAGATACATTGTTACACATATAATAGACACATACAGCACAGTTATAGATACATTGTTACACATATAATAGACACATACAGCACAGCTATAGATACATTGTTAGACATATAATAGACACATACAGTGCAGCTATAGATACATTGTTACACATATAATAGACAAATACAGCACAGTTATAGATACATTGTTACACATATAATAGACACATACAGCACAGTTATAGATACATTGTTACACATATAATAGACACATACAGTACAGCTATAGATACATTGTTACACATATAATAGACACATACAGTACAGCTATAGATACATTGTAACACATACAATAGACACATACAGTGCAGTTATAGATACAGTGTTACACATATAATAGACACATACAGTACAGCTATAGATACATTGTTAGACATATAATAGACACATACAGCGCAGTTATAGATACATTGTTACACATATAATAGACACATACAGCGCAGTTATAGATACGTTGTTACACATATAATAGACACATACAGTGCAGTTATAGATACATTGTTACACATATAATAGACACATTCAGTACAGCTATAGATACATTGTTAGACATATAATATACACATACAGCGCAGTTATAGATACATTGTTACACATATAATAGACACATACAGCGCAGTTATAGATACATTGTTACACATATAATAGACACATACAGCACAGTTATAGATACATTGTTACACATACAATAGACACATACAGCACAGTTATAGATACATTGTTACACATATAATAGACACATACAGTACAGTAATAGATACATTGTTACACACATAATAGACACATACAGTATAGTTATAGATACATTGTTACACATATAATAGACACATACAGCGCAGTTATAGATACATTGTTAGACATATAATAGACACATACAGCACAGCTATAGATACATTGTTACACATATAATAGACACATACAGTACAGTAATAGATACATTGTTACACACATAATAGACACATACAGTATAGTTATAGATACATTGTTACACATATAATAGACACATACAGCGCAGTTATAGATACATTGTTACACATATAATAGACACATACAGCGCAGTTATAGATACATTGTTACACATATAATAAACACATACAGTGCAGTTAAAGATACATTGTTACACATATAATAGACACATACAGTGCAGTTATAGATACATTGTTACACATATAATAGACACATACAGTGCAGTTATAGATACATTGTTAGACATATAATAGACACATACAGTCTCGTTATAGATACATTGTAACACATATAATAGACACATACAGCGCAGTTATAGATACATTGTTACACATATAATAGACACATACAGTGCAGTTATAGATACATTGTTACACATATAATAGACACATACAGTGCAGTTATAGATACATTGTTAGACATATAATAGACACATACAGTCTCGTTATAGATACATTTGCTTGGCTTACCTTATAATAGGAACTTACATACAAGCGCGGTTGCCAGATACATTGTTACACGCTATAAGCCAGACACGCTACCACAGATTGCAGTTATAGATACATTGTTACACATATAATAGACACATACAGTGCAGTTATAGATACATTGTTAGACATATAATAGACACATACAGTCTCGTTATAGATACATTGTTACACATATAATAGACACATACAGCGCAGTTATAGATACATTGTTACACATATAATAGACACATACAGTACAGTTATAAATACATTGTTACACATATAATAGACACATACAGTGCAGTTATAGA